TCAATTAATTTTGCAATCATTGCCTTTCCGTTTCTTTTTTTTTTTTTTTTTTTTTGGAAATTTATGCTGCAAACTTTTGGAATTGTGTGCTACTTTCTTTAGAATTAAGTGTTGCCCCTTCTACTTAAATTGATGTCGCGCCTTTTATTAGTGTTTCGCGCACAGTGTCGAGCTACGCGAGATTTTTCTTCCGGATGCATACTGGAATTTTTGGACGCGTCGAGTCCAAATCTCGACGTGTTCAATCCTCTATAGCAATCTCCTTGGTTCATTTTGACTTCAAAATTATCCTAGCACTTCCCTTGATCTTGTATTTGACCTAAAATGGTTCTAAAACACTCACAAACACCGTAAAACATTCAAAACAAGTGTAAACCATATCTAAATGATAAAACAAAGGAATATGCAATTAAATTACCATTTTCACATAATTGAACCCAACAAGCATGATCAAACTAATACAAGAAATATGCACAATTTGGCTCACATCACTTATATGCGACATTACAAAGGGCAATTGGTCGCAGGTCCGAGACACACTCCAGGGCCTTCTTCTTCGGGATTAGCACAACATTTATATCCCCAGAGGTAGAGTACAGGTGCGGAAACATTCAATTACAAAATTGGTAAGATCATAACCAACAATCGACCAGAACCTTTGGTAGAAAGAAGGAGACATACCATCTGGGCCCGGGGCCTTATCAGGTGCCTTAGAGAACAGAGGAATCTTGACTTCTTCGGGTTCAACCAGACGAAGTAAACTGACATTCATTTCTCGCGTGACCCGACTCGGGATTCTTTGAAAGAAGTCCGAATTAAAACTGGATGCATGGAAGATGGTTCGGTAGTACGATAAAATTTCCGCATGCATTGTCACACCCTCCAACCACTCCCTCGACGCATTTTTTATCCGAATAAGGTAGTTCGTCTTTCGTCTATGACTCGCAAACCGATGAAAAATTTTGGTGTTCGAATCCCATCATTTAACCACAACTATTTAGACCTCTGGCGCCAATAAATCTCTTCTTGTGCCAATAACAAACAAAGCTCTTTTTCAAGTGCCTGGAATAGCAGCACATCGTCAAAATTTTTGCTATTACAAAGTAACTCTAGCTTCTCCCTCAAAGCCTGAACCTTGCGACCAAATTTATGAAAGTGGTCGCTGCCCCAACGCCACAAAGCCTGACTGCATGCACTGATATGTTGCTGGAAGTGAAGACCATATGATATATTCCAAGAAGACTCTACCACATCACGGCAGTGGGCATCCAGAAGCCATGCGGCTTTGAACTTAAACTTTCTACCGGACCTTCGAACATGTGTTCTTTTAAGATTTAAGAAAATCACATTGTGATCTGAGGAAGTTGCTAACATATTTTTAACAGCAGCATCACCATATAGACTTCGCCACTCTGAAGAAGCAACAACCCAATCGAACCGTTCTTCTACTCAATGGTCCGAGCCTCGACCTATTTCCCATGTAAATTTATGACCAAGCATACCGAGATTAGATAAGTCACAATCTTGAAGGGCATCATTAAAACCTATAATAAGCACGTCAGGATGAGAAATACTCCCTCTTTTTTCGCTATGGTTTGCGATATCGTTGAAGTCTCCGATCACAACCCAAGGAAGATTAGACCGAGACCATAGAATAAGAAGTAGGGAACAAGCATGTTGCCTACATGATCTTTTCAGGAAGCAGTAAAAACAGGTGAGGCACCAATGGGGTTCACCCGCTAGAGACACTGAATGTGGCGTTTCCAATTTTGATCCTACTGTTATAGGGGCGTTTCCAATTTCAGTCCACTTTAATTTTTTTGCCACTTTACAACCACTGTTATTGAATGTGTTCCACTTTTAGTCCACCGTTAATATTTCTGTCAAGAGGCCGTATAATCAAAGGGTATTTTGGTCTTTTTATGTTTGTTTCTTCTCTTTTAATCTAAGCGCTTCATCCTCCTCCTCCGATATTCAAAGATGGCTCTTCGAACAACGAGAATGGGAAGCCAAAGCTACATCGTTTCGTTCGTTCCTGTTAGTAATGTTATTATTTGTTATTATTATTTGTAATCCTAAGTCTAGTTATATTATGTATTAGAATAAGTCTTATTTGACTAGGCTATTAGATAGGAGATAATAGTGGCATAGTTTCATATACTCTCCTGTATCTCTGTTCTGTTGAAACTGAATAACAAATGTTTCTCTAATCTGGTATCAGCCAAACGTCGATCCATTCTCTCTCTCTGTTTTCGACAAAACCACCGTAAAACTCCCACCACCACCGCAAATGTCATCCAATTCCTCCGAGAGAACAATTTCCGCCGGCGGTGGCTCATCCCCGTCCGGTAACAATTCCCTTACGGGCGCTCATCACTTCATCTCTATGAAGTTGACGTCCCGAAACTTTTTATTCTGGCGCACCCAGCTTATTCCGTTTCTTCGCGGACAGGACCTGCTCGGCTTTGTGGATGGCACCTCACTGTGCCGCCTCCTACCGTTGTTTCTCCACCGACTGGGACCTCCGATTCCGGCGCGACAACAGCGACTCCAACCCCGAATCCGGCGCACAAAGCCTGGGTTCAACAGGATCAGTTGATCCTTTCTCTTCTTATCTCGTCAATGTCTGACGAGGTTCTTCACCTGGCTGTTGGGCGCAACACAGCTGCAGAAGTATGGCAATCCATTTGCACAGCTCTCGGTTCTAGTACCCAAGCAAGATGTCTGAGCTTGCTCGGGCAGTTTCAGTCCTTGCGGCAAGGAGGCACGCCGACATCAGAATATCTTGGCAGGGCCGAATTACTCGTGGAAGCTCTCGCACAGGCTGGGCAACTCCTCTCTCTTCGCGAACAGAACTTATATGTTCTACGCCGACTTCGCCCGGAGTATCGCGCCTATGCCGCATCTCTCACCGCCAACACGCCGATTTCCCAGCCGCAATTAGCGGATTATTTACAGGCCGCAGATTTTATTTTGGCCGATGACTACCTGCAGGTTGGCGATGGTGTTCCAGCAGCGTCACATGCAGCCATGTACGCAGGACGTGGATGCGCAGGGCGGCATGCACGGTAACCACGGCGCGTCGGGCAGTGGTGGACGCCGAGGTCGTAGGGGCCAGAACAATAATGGCGGGCGCGGTCGTGGTGGCCGGGGACCTCCACGATGTCAAATTTGTCGGGCTCAGGGGCATACCGCAGTTTACTATTATAAACGGTATACTACTCAACCCCCGGCGCAGGCAAATGTAGCTGTTTCGAGAGATGTACCTACGAGCCCTGTACCACTGGCCGATGCATGGTATCCCGATACGGGCGCTACCGCGCATGCCACACCGGATGCCGGGATGTTAACACACTCGGAGGACTATGAGGGTGCTGACACTCTCAGAGTTGGAAACGGGGCAGGTTTGGCGATCTTACAAATAGGCCATACGTCTATCCCATCAAAATCTAAACACTTATTCCTGTCAAACGTTTTACATGTTCCTTCATTAACTGTCCCGTTATTATCTGTGCAAAAATTCACTAGTGATAATGCGGTTTATTTTGAGTTTCATAACAATTGTTTCTTTGTGAAGGATTCCAAAACCAAGGCCATACTTCTTAAGGGGTCTACAGCTGGCGGTTTGTACAAGCTTCCTGTGTCCCGGAGTCAGTTTGCTTTTGTCACCTCTCGTGCAACGCCCGAAGTCTGGCATCGCAGGCTCGGTCATCCGCATACCGTGGTTCAAAATAAAATTCTCCAAAGCTGCCCGGTTGAGTCAAATAATGTCAAAAATATTGAGTCATGTAAGGCTTGCCATCTCGGCAAGTCATCACGTTTTAAACTCGAAAATATTCAAAGTTCAAGCCAAAATGTACTAGACTTGCTTTATACAGATATATGGGGTCCTGCACCTGTAGTGTCGTTTAGTGGTTTTAGATACTTTGTATTATTTGTTGACGATTTCACTCGTTTCTGCTGGTTTTATCCATTACGGGTAAAATCAGACATTTATAATGTTTTTGACGTTATTCGTGTGTTGGTAGAGCGGCAATTTTCGCGCTCTATCAAGTCTATTCAATCCGACCTAGGGGGTGAATACCGCAAATTAAGTGTCACGTTCCAATCTCTAGGCATTAATCACAGGCAGTCGTGTGCTTACACGCACGAACAGAACGGGAGAGTTGAACGCCGTAACCGCCATATTGTGGAAACTGGGTTGGCTCTCCTTGCCCAAGGCAACGTCCCGCAACAATATTGGGACTTTGCTTTTGAAACTGCCACTTGCCTAATCAATTATCTTCCAACCAAAGTTCTAAATTTTGATAGCCCGTACTCATGTCTCTACAAAAAGCCACCTCCATATCAGTTCCTTCGTGTCTTCGGGTGTCAGTGTTATCCCTATCTTCGGACTTACAATCGGCACAAGATAGAATACCGCTCCACCCCTCGTGTCTTCCTAGGTTACCCACCGTCCTATAGGGGGTACAGATGTATGGATCTATCTAGTGGGAAAACCTATATCTGCCGCCATGTGCGGTTTGACGAATGTGTGTTCCCTTTTAATACAGGTACAATGCAGCAGGTCCCGTAGCCCACTCCTTTGCCATGGGCCTCTGGTCCTATTGTTCCGCTGCTACAAGCTCCTGTTTGTGAACCCGGGCCTTCTCCTGTGACTGAGGCGGTCCCGATTGCTCAGGAACCTCCTTGCTTGGCCATCACTCACACCGCACCACCTCGGGCTCGGAAACGCACTCGGGTACATCCACTGGACCGATGGCATGTCATGCGTCTCCGGCACATGACTAGAGTCGCTCCCGAGGTTTTTCAGGCTCTTACCGCGTCGGTAGATCCGACGTGCTATTCTCAAGCGGTTGGGCATCCGCAATGGCGGGATGCTATGGACCAGGAATTCAATGCCCTGCTCCACAATAATACTTGGAAACTTGTTCCACCGGAGCCTAATATGAATATCATCGGATGCAAATGGGTGTTCCGCACCAAACGCACCGTTGACGCCCGTCTTGTGGCCAAAGGCTTTAACCAAGTGGCCGGGGAGGATTTTTTCGACACTTTTAGCCCAGTGGTGAAACCCACTACGGTTCGAATCCTGTTCTCCCTTGCCGTCTCCCGCAAGTGGACTCTACGTCAGTTAGATGTTCACAACGCCTTTCTAAATGGCCACTTGGCTGAGACTGTATACATGAAGCAGCCACCAGAGTATGAAGACCCGACTCACCCTGGCCATGTTTGCCACTTGCAACGCTCGCTCTATGGCCTTAAACAGGCACCCAGGGCGTGGTTCAAGCGGCTTCACGATTTCTTAATATCTGCAGGTTTTTCATCGTCCAAAACATATGTGTCCCTCTTCTACACCACTTCTGGCGCCTCAAAAGTTTATCTACTAGTCTATGTAGATGATATCATTGTAATGGGGCACGATGCAAGAGCTGTAGATACTCTGCTGACTCGTCTGGCAACTACCTTTAAAATTCGGGACCTAGGCAAGCCGAGTTTCTTCTTGGGCATCGAGACAGTTGATATTGAAGGTGGTATAGTTCTATCTCAGCGGCGTTACATGACAGATCTCCTCGGACGTGCTCGGATGTCTGATTGCAAGCCACTCACTACTCCAGCTGCCGTCACTAAACCAGTTACCGCGTCAGATGAACCATTCGACAATCCCACACAGTATCGTCAGATAGTAGGGGCGCTTCAGTATCTGACTATCACACGTCCAGACCTCTCCTTCTCAGTCAACCGATTGTGTCAGTTCATGCATGCACCGACTATGGATCATTGGGCCTTGGCTAAGCGTGTATCGCGCTATATCAAGGGTACTCTTGCGTATGGATTGCGAATCTCGGCTTCACCGACTACTACTATACATGCCTACTCGGATTCTGACTGGGCCGGCTGTCCTACAGACAGGAAGAGCACTAGTGGTTACGCGGTGTTTCTTGGGGATAATCTCATCTCTTGGCAGTCCAGGAAGCAACGCACCGTAGCTCGCTCGTCTACCGAAGCTGAATATAAAGCCTTAGCCGACGTTGCGGCTGAGGTAACCTGGGTTGTGTCTTTGCTTCGTGAGCTAGGTCTGCATGACAGGCAACCTTCCAGCATTTGGTGTGACAACTTGGGTGCCACGTATCTTTGTGCCAATCCAGTTTTCCACGCACGGACGAAGCATGTTGAGATCGACTATCACTTTGTCCGGGACAAGGTTGCAACCGGGGAATTCATTGTCAACTATGTTTCAACTAAGGATCAGCTCGCAGATGTCTTCACCAAACCGCTACCAGGACTTTGCGTTTTACAGCGCTACGGTTCAAGCTCAATGTGGTTTCTCACCTACCTTGTGCTTGAGGGGGTGTGTTAGTAATGTTATTATTTGTTATTATTATTTGTAATCCTAAGTCTAGTTATATTATGTATTAGAATAAGTCTTATTTGACTAGGCTATTAGATAGGAGATAATAGTGGCATAGTTTCATATACTCTCCTGTATCTCTGTTCTGTTGAAACTGAATAACAAATGTTTCTCTAATCGTTCCAACATGGGTCGGCGAGGTTTCTTAGGTTTTAGGTTTAATGTTCTCATTTCTTAAGTCAAACATAATCTTGGATGAGAAGAAAGGTAAAAATACCCCTAGATTACACGGCCTCTTGATGGAAATACTAACGGTGGGACTAAAAGTGGAACACATTCAATAATAGTGGTTATAAAGTGGCAAAAAAAATTAAGGTGGACTAAAATTGGAAACGCCCCTATAACAGTAGGACCAAAAATGAAATTCACTCTTGAATAATCTAGACGCGTAGCCATATCGGAATTACGCCATAATAGGGCCAGACCGGCTCCCAATCCAATTCTCTCAACACAAAACATACCTTCGAAACCTAACTGCATCTTAAGTCTTTCCGACTGAATAGAACGAGTTTTCGTCTCCATCAAGAAGACGTAATCAGGGTGGTGAATGGACACAAAGCCCATTAATTCTCGAACTGCGCGAGGGCCACCGAAACCTCGACAGTTCCAACTTAGAGTACTCATTGGGATGGGCGGGTCAAGCCAACCGACTGATCTTCACTACTATTATCCTCCCTTCTCTGTTTAAGTTCACCATGCAGCATTGTAGAGGCCTCTAACTGGATAGGAGTATGTGTAGGAACCGCTGGTGTAGACGGCACACAGACTGGTGTAGCTGGGAAATCTACAATGAGCCATTTTGCACCAACGGGTGTAACTGGACGTCATATTCTCGCTCTCAACCATGTGCCATATGGGTAATCCTTAGCCTCTATCCCAAAGTCGTACACCTTACGACAGAATTGCTCAGAATGGCCTATTAAACCGCAGCAAAAACAAAACGTATTTAGCTGTTCATACTTGAAGGTGATCCATTCAAAAGTGTCATCCCTCAAACGTAACTTCATCAGCATTTTCAAAGGCTCATTCAACTGAAGAGAGACCCGAATATGGATAAAGCATTTCTGTTCAGTGCCAAAATTATTGGAGTCGATAGCCTTGAACCTGCCAACATAGTTTCCAATCTTCTCAATAAAATCTGCACTAGCAAAGGTCGATGGTAGATTATGGATATGGATCTAATAGTCAATGGAATCTAAAACCACATCTTCAGGACGAACATTTGCTGGAACTCGATTACACACCAATGTGTTGTTCTCAAAGGACCATGGCCCTTCATCTAAAACTCTCGACATGTCTTTCTGATGGGGGAACTGGAAAACAAACAAATTATCTTCGATGGGGACGATCTGGACACCCATTACAGGGCGCCAAAGAGAAGCCATAGTTTTACTATTTTCTGGCTAAAATCTCTCTTTTTCTTATCTCTTAATTTAAGAAATGTGCAAGACTATTTATAAAGCTTGGTTTGGGCCAAAGGTGCTAGCCCTCAAAACTACCCAATATAGAATTAATTCATTAATAAGCTACTAATGTATTAATTAATTCTATATTGATAACTCTTTATCAATTTATTTTAAAGTTCTCAACATTACCACGAACCATTAAAGTGTGACTTTCTATGTTCATAGTCAAACTAGCAACGAGTAATATTTAATAACTCATTATTAAATAACTCGTATGTCATGAGTGACACCTAGCGGGATGTCATGACTACCTAGTTGACAATGAATATAATTAAATATATTATAATAAACCTTTCCATTACAACTACTATGCAACATTCCTTTCCCACAATACTTGTTCCAAATCAGGTAAAGGTCACGGTCAAACTTGGTTAAATCCATAAACCTGGTCAATACATCTATTCAATATTCTTAACCTGAAGTCCAACTTCATTATACTCTGGCCAGATATTCTCGTTGTATGATTATTGAATAGACTAGAATATCCTTGTTACCTTAAGGCGGTGAATCCTATATTGAACACATACATATCTCCTTACAATGCTGAACTAGGCCACCAAGTACACTTATAGTCCCATAAGGAACAAAAAACGCATTTACTGGCAAAAACTAGTTCACCATATTTACGAGATAACCATGTCGTCTCAAGTCAAAGGACACTATACTAATAAGAGTCAAAGAGAGTTAGGCCTATAATGGGAAGAAAAAATGACGGTCAAATTTTTTAATCAAATGAATGGCTCAGATTGATCAGATTATAATTTTTCCTTGAGATTTCTAAATTTATCCTTAATTATATGATTATCCGTTAACTTTTCCGTTAAATATTATCTTCTCCGTTAATTTGTATTAGTTCACCATTAATTTACTCATTGATTTTAATAAGAAAGGTCTTAGGTTCGAACCCCATCCCAATCAAAATTGGCATAATTAGTACTCTATTTTACTAGTATTAAATTATTAAATAATAATTTAGTAGCTACAACAAAAAATAATAAATATGCATTTCTTTAATTTAGAATTATGTTAGGAATAAATTGTAAAGTTTTGATGAGCCAAATATTTTTGAAAATATTTGTAACACCCCGGTGTTACGACCCCTAAGATCAATTAAATCATTTAATCAATTACCCAAAAGAAAGAATTAAATCACAATAATTAATTAGGAAGGTCCACCATAGTCCACGGGCCCTTATCCCTAAACCCAATCCTTAGTCCCAAAAGAAATAGAACTAGCAAGCCCATAATATTAGTTCCTAACTAGGACTCCTAAATATATAAATAGGGGACTTAAGAGGCACCTAGAAACCCCCCACAAGAATAACGCCCCACCTCCCCAAAGAGCTCCAAGAATCCCCCTAGAAGAAATCAAGAAAGCAAGAAAGCTTAAAGAAAGACCCTTCATAGCCAAGGAATTAATTAAGGCTAAGAGGTAACCCATGTCTCAACAAAACCTATTTTCATAGTTATGATTCCCCCTTAGGGTTTCCCCATATTATTGTGTATTAATGACTTGTGATGATTATTATTGATGATTGATGTGATGATCTCATGGGGGATCTTGATAATCTTGATATTGGGAGGTTCTTGATAATTATGATGTTCTTGATGATTATATGGAGTCCTTGATGATTATGTGTTGTTCTTTATAATTGTGTGATGCCCTTGATGCTTATGTGTTATTCTTACCGAATCTTGCAATTAGAAGGCGAATCGTATTCTTGTTGATATAAAAGTGATTAGAACCCTAGGTTGTATCGTATGATATTATTCTTGGATTATCGGGTGGGGTAATCACATGTTTGGGTGTTGATTATGTTTAGAAAAGCATGATAGGTTATGTGCCGTTCGTTTCTCGTATTTGATCCGTTAATTGTCTACGTGTTGTCGTTGATTGCGTTGTAAAGTGTCTAAGCATGGTTTCGGGTTCCACAATGGTTCCCGGGGCGAAATTGTGTGAAAAGAGTCAGTGGGGGGTAGGGGACCCGCCACCTACCCACGGCCGGAATGGTGATCCCGGCAGCGGGCAGCCGGCGGGCGGGCAGCTGCCCGCCGGCAACCCGCTGCCCGGAATAGTGAATCCGGCGGGCAGCCGGCGGGTGGCCCCCCACCCACCGGCTACCCGCTAGAATTTTCCCCATCTTGGGTTCCCGGCTTCCCCGTTTGATGTTTCCCCGACCCCCGTGGTGTCCCAACGGACTCCGTCTATCGTGCCTATGTCTAGTTTGATATTTCGGGTACCGTTTGTAGGTTGTATGAGTCTTATATATTGCATGCTAGTTGAATTGGTATCCCGCTGACCTAGGTAAAAGGAGTATGAACCCTTTAGGACTATTCTTAGCATGTGAAGGATCACACATAGGTTTTGTTATACGTTTCCTCCCCTTCCCAATATGTCTATGTGGGTTGCATGTGCTTGCTACGCGTTATGTGTGCGTGTCACCCCGACTTGATTGAGATCAATCGGGCTATACGGGCAGTCGGGTGGGCTGAGAACCATACCGGCTGTTAACCAGGCTGGTAGAGACCGGTCAGGTATATAAATATTATATAGGACTAAGTTCCACTAACGGGCAGTCGGATGGGCTGAGAACCATACCGGCTGTTAACCAGGCTGGTAGAGACCGGTCAGGTATATAAATATTATATAGGACAAAGGTCCACTATACGGGCAGTTGAATGGGCTGAGAACCATCCCAACTGTTAACCAGGCTGGTAAAGACCGGTCAGGTATATAAATATTATGTAGGACAAAGGTCCATCAGTCGGTTGCGATCGGCTCCTCCGTAATGTGAGACGGGGCAGGGTGCTGCGGGGCCGTGTCAGAGCTATATGCGCTGACCCTCATGTATGGGTGTGCGATTGGTCCTGTGGCGCCAACAAAGTGTGCTATGTGATGAGATATGGAGGAATTCTGTTTATGAGTATATTGGGGGATGTGACTAAGGGATTTATGCTGGGGATTGTTTACATTGGGTTATGATTATTAATTGTGCTCAGCTTTATCTGTCTTGCCTGTTGAGGATTGTATACGCCTGTTATAACTGTTGCTTGGGTCTAGCCTTATCTGTCGAGTCATTCCCGGTTTTAAAAGCTAGAGTCTCGTAGGATATATCTTCATGCTTCAAAATGATCTTCGTATATCTATATATATCTCTATATGTATTGTATCTCAACGCGTTGGAGTGGGTTACCAGCATCTCTCGCTGAACAGATATATTTGGCTTTCAGGCACAGACGAGTAGATCACTGGAGTGCGCTAGAAGCTTGGGCGTAGCTTAGATAGTTTTCCCTTTCGGCCTGTGTGCCATGATTTAGTATTGATACTATTTGAGGATATTAGTTAGTTAGCCTGTGCACCTGAGTTCTCTAGCTCAGGTGTGGCATAGCACCCCATACTCTCGTGTTATGTTTTGGGATTTAATGAGATTTCGCCTTTATTTTATAAGTTTTAAATATCCTAAAAATCTGTGGTGTTACAGTTGGTATCAGAGCCTAAGTTTGACCCTAGGATAAAACTCTTAAGGTCGGACTTTACGACAATAGGCTCGAACTCTAAGTATCTAGGAACATAAGATTCA